ATAAAATGGGTAAGTTTTAGGAACAAGAGACCTTTCAGGCTCAAGGGAGAAAGATGGTTAAATCACATATTGAGAGAGTAGTATGCTAAGGTTAAAATGAAGGACTAATGGTAGTCTCAAACTTTTCAGTAAGATGAGGTAGAGAAATGAAATTGTTAAATAAGAGAAATGACTTACGGTAAATCTCATCTCAAATGGCAAGATATTGAGACATAAAGATGAACTCTGAAATGTTCTAGTCTCTCTTTAACATTATTCTGCAGCTTAGGAGCAAGAAGCAGGTTAGCTATTCAGCATTAAGAATTACTGAGATGAATACAACAAAAGATGAGGGAAGATTATGTGTCCAGCGAGATAAAACAGGCAGCGCTGAAGTAGTTGGTAATATATGGAACTATGAACTGAACAAAGTAGATTCTGTAGATTGAAAGACTGGGCCCATCTGTACAGAGTTACTAACACATACAAGACTAAAAACATCCGAGGTGTTAAATAAGTCTATATCTAGGAAATCGCACCCATGTAAGATTTTCCCTCAGAAATAAAGATCTGATGGAAACCTTTCATTAAATTATGCTGCTTATGCAGCAAAATGATACCCGGTTAACAAAGGAAGGACTAAGAAAGCTGGCATCACTTTTGGGATAGTAGCAGTGACACTGTTGGGAAACCTGGAACTACTACAGAAAATATTTTGCAGGAAAAAAACATAGTCAAATAAAAAGAGTAGGCCAGGCACGGTAGCTCATGACTGTAATCCCAGCACTTTGGGAGGCTGAGGTGGGCAGATCACTTTAGCCCCGGAATTCAAGACCAGCCTAGGCAACATGGCGAAACCCCGTCTCTACAAAAAAATGCAAAAATTAGCCAGGCATAGTGCCCATAGTCCCAGCTACTTGGGAGGCTGAGGTGGGAGAATCGCCTGAACCCAGGGGCAGAATCTGCAGCGAGCCAAGACTGAACCACTACACTCCAGCCTGGGCAACAGAGCAAGACCCTATCTCAAGAAAAAAAAAAAGCGTAAGATCTGAAATCAGGCTGGGCGAGGTGGCTCACGCCTGTAATCCTAGCACTTTGGGAGGCCAAGGCGGGCGGATAACCTGAGGTCAGGAGTTCGAGACCAGCCTGGCAAACATAGTAAAACCCTCTTACTACTAAAAATACAAAAATTAGCTGGGCGTGGTGGTGAGGGCAGGAGAATCACTTGAACCCGGGAGCGGGGGATGGGGGTGGGGGGGCAGTGTGGAGGTTGCAGTGAGCCAAGATTGTGCCACTTCACTCCAGCCTGGGCGAAAGAGCAAAACTCCATCTCAAAAAAAAAAAAAAATCTGAAATCAGAGAACTAGGATTTGAATCCCAATTTAGGCAAATACAATTGCTGTTTTTAGGTCTCAATTCCCCATCTAGAAAATGATAACAATAACAGTAAGTAATACAGAAATAATAATAGTAGTGGCTAACATTTTTGAATGCTTATGTTCTAGACACAGTACTAATGCATTATTAGAACTGTATTAGCTCACTTACACATGTATTAGCTCATGTAATCATCACATTAACTTTATTGAGGCTGTTATCCCCATTTTTCTGTGATATACGCAGAATTTCAACCTGTGCAATCTGATCCCAGATCCTATATTCTTTAGTACATTTTCTGCCTCTCTGGATTATGAAGATAAGAATGCAGTAAAAAGTGCTTTAAGTGTACACAAATGTTCATCATTACTGCTGAGTATCAAGCGACAGGACAAAATAATCCCAACAAAATCCTAGACAATTTATCTACAGTCAACATTTCATAAATCCATGGGCCTTATCCTCAAAAAGCAAAGGGGATACACACATAAAAAGACAACTACTTGATATGGACAAAATATACATGCTGCTTTTCTATGGTGAGCTGAAGTAAACAGTATAATTAGTGATATAAGAATAAAGAGCCTTCAGAAATCACCAAATTACAGCCTCAAAAAGTAACTGCACTAAATGCAAAGGGCTAAAAAATAACTGAGACAGAAAGAAGATCATTATAATTTTTTTTTTAAAGTAAAGGTTTCTGAACAATCACAAAGCTTTGAAAAGAAATAAGGTTCCAAACAGCAACAGGCTTTTCACAGAGCAACAAATTTCATATATGCATACTATGAAAAGGATTATCATTTCCAACAAAAGTCCTAAACCACATTATAAATACTGTAGTAAAAAATAGTTGATACTAGACACTTACACAGAGCACTGTTCTAAGTACTTTAGAGGTATCAATTCATTTAATCCTCACAACAACCCTACGAGGTTAAGTCTTACTATCATCCTCATTTTCTAGATTGTGAAAATGAGGCAGAAGTGTGGTCAAGTAACTTGGCCATGTTTACCCAATGAGTGGCTGTGCTGGGGTGTCAAACCCAGGAAGTTCATCTCCAGAATTTGTGCTATACTTCCCTCTAATAGAAAACTAAAAAGCAGAACACTAATTGATTCAGAAGTATTAAGTATTATTCAATCATATTTGATAACAAGGAAGAACCTTTCATTCACAATAAGCAGTTAATAATTCATTACTCATAGCAGTTCTGTCATTGGTGTTCCTTCCAAGTTAAGTCTGCACATTCTCACTGGACAATCTCATCAACCCCCCACCCGCCCCCCAGCTCCAAATACAATCTACTTGCTGATAACTCTCAAATCCAGATCTCCAGCCCAATCTCTCTTCTGCACCTTCAACCTGCACCAAAAACCAAACAGATATTTCTCTCTGAGTGATTCATGAGCCCCTCAAAATTAACAACTCCAAAACTGAATCATCATCTCCATCCCACTTGCATCTCCCAATCTCAAACTCTTTTTCCTCCTGTACTCCCTTACCCCAAAGACTGTCACCAACATCCACGTGGTTGCCCAACTTAGGATGTCATCCCAGATTCCTCAATCTGCCTCACCTTGCATGTCCAATCACCAATCACTACCATATCCACCTCCTGTCTGTCCAATAAGTGCACATCTCTTCATTCATGTTACCTTACTTAATTTTGTAACTTCTTAGAAAGCTGTTCTTATTTGCATTTTGTGTTGTTTTAAACAACTGATTCGCTTTTTTTCTTGTGGTTTGTCCTGTCCCATCTGGTGGTAAACTCCACTAATAGACACACAATTTCACATCCAAGTCTCTAATGTGTACTTACTTTATCAGTATGACGTTTTCAGGGATAAATTTCTGGTTCTAATAAGAGAAATTAATACTAGGAATATATGTCAAGTAATAACATTTTTTAATGACATCACCATCAGAAGTAAGACCTAGTTATTTTACAAAAAAAAAAAAGTCCTGTCATCACAACTCCCTGGGAGAAACTAATTACTACAAGTGTTTGATGACAGGTAGTATAGGCCATGTACTATCTTACACACATTACACAAATTATGCCATTTAATGTTCACAACAACACTATGAGCTGGGTCCTATTAATATTCTCATTTGCCAGATGAGGAAACGGAAAGTGGCCCAACAACTTGGCCAAAGTCCCAAGTTAGAAAATATCAGTCAGGATTTGAACCCATGTCGGAGTCTGACAGTAGAGCCCATGCTCTTAAACACTAGATATTTTGTCCCTTAAGGAAAAAAATATGTGCTAGAACTCTGGAAAGAAAGAAAGAAAGAAAAAAAAGCCTCTGCCTCGAAACTAGCTAGGACTACAGGTGTGACACCACACCTGGCTAATTTTTTTTTGCAGAGATGGGGTAGGGAGGGGGGGGGCTCACTATGTTGCCCAGGCTGGTCTTGAACTCCTGGCCTCAAGCGATCCTCCTGCCTCGGCCTCCCAAACTGCTGGGATTACAGGCGTGAGCCACTGCATCCGGCCCAAAATTTTTTAAGAAATGTCAACAAACCAGAAAGACTCAGAGTCACAGAAATACAACTGTCCAAAAACAAAAAAGGTAATTTAATCTGAATGTTTCTTTTCTTGGGACATCATAATTCACACAAACATGATTTTATTAAAACAAAAATGTCCACTGTCTCATACATAAGTACACTCCACAAAGAAATTCTACAAATATTAGAATCCTCTGTCATTCAATTCTTATTTGGCGGGTGGGAGAAAGGTGGCAACCAACCACCCCAAGTAGGTGAAAGGCTTTGAAACCTCCACCTTGATCACTTGCTTTACTTCAAGACTGCTAACATATGAGAGAAAGCCAGTGTATAAAGAACATTGCCTATCATCCATCTTCTTCGGGAGCTCTGAGAAACACAAGCGCACAGTCAAATTCACAGGCGAACTCAGAACGAGCTTCAGCCTGCAATCCGTCAGGGATTTGGCAGCTGCACACCGAAGGTGCAGCCCGCAGCTCTCAACTTTTCATTCTGTCCACACGTTTGCAATCCTGGACGCACAAGCCCACTTTGAACCTGGCCCCAGGATGCAAAGAGGGTTTCTGTCAGATTTCTCAGGAAGAGCGAGACGCGTGAAGGAGGGGCGGCCTCCCACCCGCCCCGAGCCGTCACGCATTTCTCCTTTTGTTGGGGTGGAGAGGAGGGCGGACCCCGCACCCTCTAGGGGCCAACAGGGGGTGGGCGGAGAGAGGGGAGGGGGCGAAACGCCGCGGCGGCCCCCGACAAGCCCGGGGGTGGGGACACAAAGAATTCGGGAAGCGGCCGACGAGCTCCCCCACCCGCCCTTCCATTAAATAAACCGTCGGGAAAGTCCAGGCCCGGGCCGCCGAGGAGCAGGCGGAGGCGGGCGCGCTGGCTGGCGTCCGCGGCCCTCTCTGCTCCCGGCCGAGGCTCAGCGGCGGACGCGGGCTGAAGACCGGGGTTGTAGGGCGGCGCGAGGCCTCCGCTACCCTCTCAACCACCCCGAACCCCCTCCGCCCCGCCGCGGGCCAGGCCGCGGGATCCCGGTGCCGGCCTCGCCACACCCACCCGCCTCTTAGGCCCGGCCTGGGAGGGCTCCGCGGCTCTTTCTCGGGCGGCGGCGGCGCGCCCCACGCCCGAGATTTACCTGCTGATCTTCTGGGCGAAGGCGCGGCGCTCGGCCATGGTTGCTGAGGCGGCGGCGGCGGGCTGGGCGCGGACCGGCGGGCGCGTGCCTCCTTGCTCGTGCTCCCTCCCTCGCGGCCTCCGCCAGTCCCGGCTCCGGACCTGGGAGGCTGGGGCTGGCGGCCGGAGCCGGGAACGAGCCCTGCCGTAATGTTCCTTAGAGGCGCGCACCGAGAAACCGCTCCTCCCCCAGCGCGTCAATCCCGGCGGGAACCCCGGCTTCGGAAGGCAGCTGCCGCCGGCGGGAGCCGAGGGGTAGAACGGAGCGCTGAGGAAGCGAGGCCCCAGCCCTAGCCGCTTCGCTGCCGCGGAGCCTGCACGACCGAGAGGTCGCAGAGAGAAGCCAGAGACAGGCCAGCGACCTGGCGAGGCAAGAAAATAAGATAACCGAATGCGTAGGGGGAGCTTGGCTTTCCCGAAATGGAAGGGAAGGAAATGGAAGGTGGGCTTTGCCGAGGGGGCTGTGCTCTACCGGCCTGGATGACTGGGTTCATGTTTCTGCAGCAGCCGTCTCTGAGCTTTTTAAAGCACTTGGGTTTCTGCTTCGGCCTCATGAATGCGGTATAACTGGAGAAACAGTGGTTTTTCTTATAGAGAAAGGGTCAGAAAATACCTTGCTCCTGCAGAGATAACAATAGTAATAGCTGACTTCTGGTGCTTAGCCAGCCACTGGATTAAAGTTTTTCAAACATGAGCGCTTTGAAGTAGATCGTTACTGTCCCCATTTTAGAGGGAAGGAAATTGACTCAGAAAAGCTAAGTGACTGGTCCCAGGTCGCACAGATGGTAAACTCTTCCACTGAGACTCAAACCCAGAGCCTGTTCTTTTAGGGCAGTTGTTTCCGTATTATTTCCCCCTTTTGGGTTTCTCTGTCTGTCCCTCTTTCATACATATATATATATTTATTAATTTATTATTTATGTATATTTATAAAATATGTATAACTTAAAATATATATTAAAATAAATGAAATGAAATATATAAATAAAATAAATACATAAATATATGTATATAAATATAAATACATATAATGTATATTTATAGATATATAAAAAATCCAGGTGAGCTCTAACGTTCACCCCCTTTTTGATGTTCTGTTAAATAATCTCTGTGTTGACCACTGAAACTGACCTTGTCCATAATAGCCTATAAAATAGAGACTAGCAGAGGTCTGTTTTCATCTGTTCTGTTGTAATCCCATAATGTCCAGAATATTTGGCACCTAATGCAAATCTGTTGATTACTGAAATTTGGTTTCTTGTAGTACCTTTCCTCAAGTATTTCAAGAACTTAATATGTGTATTTATTTATTGTTGTTATTCTCAGTATGTCCTGGTGGAATATGTTGGATACCTGTTTTCCTCTCTTTTACCGTTGGAAAATCTGTAGCTTGGAGCCATTAGGTCACTTGCCAGAGTCACACACTGAGTCAGAGGTGAAAGCCTCAATTAGTCAGATCCATAACTTCCTGTCTAGTACTGTAGCTTCTGTGGAAGACTGTGTATGTATGTAACAATGCTCATTCCAGTAACACATTGCACTTATTTATTTATTTATTTGAGACAGAATCCCTGTGTGTTGCTCAAGCATGGAATGCAAAGGGTACTGCAGCCTAAAACTCCTAGGCTCAAGCAATCCTCTTGCCTCAGTCTTTGGAGGAGTAGCTAGTACCACAGGCTCTTGCCAGGGCGCCCTCCAGTAACACACTGTTTTCAGATGCGTGTTTACTAAGGGAAAAGATAGTCTGTTCAAAGAGGACAGATATTTGGCTTCTACCTAAGTATAGAGCCCACCTAGGTGTTCTAAAAAACACAAAGGTGAACTAGACACAGACCTGCTCTCAGAATGTTTGAGTCCATTGGGAAAGATGAACCAGGAACTCACAGACTGTAAGTCAAGGCTATCACTGTACCTGGCTTTTAAGATCCTCTGTGATAGGAACCCAGACTTATTTTGCCACTTTCTTAACTCTGTAACCTTAGGCAAGTTACTTAACCTCGTCTCTAAAAGGAGGAAAATAATTATATCTACTTGAAAGGGTGTTATGAAGATTTATTGAATTGATTAATATAAAGTTCTTAGAACAGGGCCTGGCTCATGGTAAGTACTATATGTGTCAGCTGTTGTTATTATTATCACTGTTACTGTCATTATTCATCCTATACTTAAGCTTGTCCTGGGTGTTTGATAGTCCCTGAATTGGTTGTCTGCTCTCATACTCCCAGCCAGATGTTGCATGCCTTTATCTCTGCTCTCCAAACATCTTTTCACTACTCTGTTAGAGAACTGGCCACATTTTGCTTTGAATAGTTCTTTGTATACATGACTCACTCGTTGCCAAAGTGTCTGAAAGGACTTTGCATGTACTGTGCAGCTTACTGGAAACATTTAGAGTGGGAAGAGGACAAGCAGGACCACGCTGTAAGCAGGGTAATGCAGAGTCTGGGGACCACTCTAAGCAGGAAGGGTGACCCCCACCTCTGGGGAAGAGCTGGTGGTCACAGACCAAGTCATGTGGGCTGGTATCCCTGCCCCACAGGGTTTCAATGTCAGGAAAAGATATGGAATGCAGCAATGGGAGTGAAAGTGGAATTGCTTCAGCTGCCTAGCATCCATGCTGCCTATACCACCCCCTACACACACACACACACACACACACACGTCAATCCACTATACTTTTGTGGAGCTCACTCCACCACCCTCAGTTTCAAGAGTCTTTTGACCTAGGCCTGACCAAGCAAAGCAGCACCCTCCTCTGGCTTCTGTGACTGATTTAGGGATAGGCACATGAATCAAACCAAGACAATCGGGCCCAACCAGAATTAGAAATTGCATTTGGTATACCAGGGCACTCCATCTAAAGAAGGCCTACCTGAGAATGAAGCCAAACACAGCAGAGAGGAGAGCAAAAAAATTGAAAAAGACAAGCTCCTTAGAATATAACATGACTTGAGCCTTGGACTTTGTAGTTACATGAGCTAAAAATGTGCTGGAATTTTTTTTGAGGGCGAGTGGCTGGTTTTTCATTAGGTTTGCTTTCATTAGCAATTCAGTTTTACCTGATACAGGACTTCATTCAGTCAACTAAGATTCACTAAGTACCTGCTATACTAGACCCTGGAAATATAATAGTAAATAGCACCATATTTCTGTCCTCAAAGAGTTTAGGGTCTGGTAGAGGAGAAAAGTAAGTAAATAGTTGCATGCTGAGACGGGAAACATTAAGAAAGCTATCGGAGTGCATATAAATTCTTGATAGCACCAGTTCTCAGATATGAGGTGTTAAAAATTGGATGGAGTTTAACCCTGTCCTTAGCCATGTTAATAACCTAGCAGAAAGGCTGGCTGTAACTCAGAGAGCATGAGTGACCTAATTCAGAATTCAGGGCCCAAGCTCCCCACTGATGGAAAGATACAAAGAAACTACTTGCCAGAACCAGGACCAATTTGGCAGCCTATACTCAAAACAGTGAGTTTTAGGTAACAAAGCCTCAGAACAGTTTTCATTAGACATACCAGGGCACTAAGTCCCTCAAGCAGAAAACTTAGGGATATGACAGAAAAAAAAGAAAAGGGAAAAGAAGGTGGGAAAATTATGACTTTTGCATTCTAACCTTTATCGAACTTAGGTCTACTCGCTTTAATATAGCACCAAGGAGGATTGTGGAGGGGCCTGGTCAAGGGTCTAAGGCTACAGCACAAAGGAGTAAGAGTTTTCGGGTCATGACGGATAAAGTTTTGGCTTTGCAGGCAGAATGTGTTCTCTTTTGGGATTTGGGGGAGCATAGGGAATGGTTCTTTTCTTCAGGCACGGGCTTTTATGAAATACCACTGGTTTCATACAAGATCGACATGGAGCTTCTTCCTTTGGAAGCCTCTAGCAAGGCCAAATGAATGTGGCCCAGAGAAAGGGAGAACTGGGGCATGATATATGGGTTTACCTCAATACCAAACTAAAGCCTAGGAGTTGGACACTAAATGTGAGCTACAGATGCTTTTGCTTGACTTTGTCCTCTGTGCTTCACTTCCTCTCAATACCTAGCAAGTGTAATTTTTGCAGGGGGAAATTAAGGGGTCCTAAACCTGGCCATACTTCACAACTAATAGCACCCACGTTTACTTTGTTGTAATACTCACTACACTATTCAAGTATTGCCTATTAATCTTTGCACCCCATTGAACTTGATCTCTTGTTCACCGCTATATTTCCAGTATCTAATACGCTGCCTGGTCCATTATAATAACTTAGTAAATGTTTTTGAGTGAATAAATGCCATGAACTAAAGTATTTTTAGATCCTACCTGTATTAATCCGTTTTCATACTGCTATAAAGAACTGCCCAAGACTGGGTAATTTATAAAGGAAAGGGGTTTAATTGACTCACAGTTCAGCGTGACTGGGGAGGCCACAGGAAACTTACAACCATGGTGGAAGGTGAAGGGGGAGCAAGGCAGCTTCTTCACAAAGTAGCAGGAAGGAAAAGTGCCAAGCAAAGGGGGAAGAGTCCTTATAAAACCATCAGATTTCCTGAGAACTCACTCACTATTATAAGAACAGCATGGGGGAAACTGCCGCCATGATTCCATTACCTCCACCTGGTCTCTCCTTTGACACATGGGGATTATGGGGACTACAATTCAAGATGAGATTTGGATGGGGACACAAAGCCTAACCATATCACTGCCTTAATTTATATTTCCCCAAAAATAGAGCTTGAGGCTTGGATGCAGGTAGTTTATTAGGAAGTGATGCTAAGAAGCTAGAACGAGGAGGTGGAGAGAGTAGAACAGAGGAGGGAAAGGTAGTAAATAGTGTTGCTGAGGTGTTACCACTGTAGGCACCTGAGGCTCAGTCCTGCCTGCGACCTGTGTAAGGTGTAGAATGCATCTCAGAATTGTCTCTCTGAGGCTGAGTATTTACATGATGCCTTCTAGATCCCTTAGTTAAAGGTTTACTCTTGGGATATTAACTGCCCACACACTTAATGCTACAAAAAGCTAAGAGACATGGTGTGTGTTTCTGCTGGCCAGCTATCAGTGCCCCTGAGAATTATCACCACAGCTGCACCTAAAATCAGAAAGGAGCCATGGATGAAGTACAGGGTACCAATAGTGTCTATTACAGATCCCGTGAAAGTGATGCAGAGACTACAATAGCAATCTTGCCAGAATAGAACATATTTGCACCTCATGGTTCTGCTGCTTTACAGAATTGGGAAAGACCAAAAGGCCAGACCACCTGAGTCAAAATGACCCACAATGCACACTCAGTGTCTACTTTAAAATTAGGTCCATAAAGTTTTTCCTCAATGTACTATTATATCAGTAGAAAAAAACAGTTTTTCCCATACTTTCACAACATGCTTCTGACACCAGATATGTGGGATTTTTTCCCCATACATCAAGCAAGCAATCAGTTCTGCAGCAGACACCAGTCGAGTCTCCTCCAATTCAGTTCTGGAGTTCTGGAATCTACCTGGAGTTCAGTTCTAACACTGCCTAGCTGGAGTTAGCGTCAGATCCCACAGGTTGAGGGCTTGGTCCCACAAGACTACCCCCCACTTCCAGTGCCAATTGCAAGCCACAGGTTGTTCTACCAGTGCTTTGACTGACTGTAAATTGGGGTTCCCACAACCCTTTTCCTTGGGTTTGATTAATATACTAGAGCAGAACACAGGGAAATGCTAGTATATACCAGTTTATTATAAAAAATATTACAAAGGATAAGTAGAAAAGATGCATAGGGCGAGGCATGTGGGAAGGAGCACAGAGCTTCCATGCATTCTCTAGGTGCACCACCCTCCAGAAACCTCTACGTGTTCAGCCCTCTGGGTTTTGATGGAGGCCTCATGACAGAGGCATGATCAACTAAATCACTG